TCGATGAAGCTTCAATTTTAATCAAAAGTATGATCTTATGATCACTTGAAAAAACAATGTAAAACTTATTGTCAAGAGAAAAAAAAGGAGTGTCTTATCAGTCAAGCAATTTTAACATCCTTGGAGAAGTAAATGATGGTGATAATAATACAGCAGAAAGTCCAATGGTAATGGTAGATTTAGAAACAACAATTTTTTATGATATATGTTTTCTCTTTAGCGTATTAATGACAAAGCAAGTGAAGTTAGTGGTTTCACAATAATTGAAGGAAATCTATATTAAAATAATATAGTGCACCAAGAATCATTCAATGGTTCTCAAAATTAAATATTGTTCTGACTTGGTCAGGAGTATTTAATCTATATCCTGACATTTTTCTCCCCACCTATTAATTAGACAACTCAAAGTCTTTCCTGCCAACTCATCTACGCCAATTTGACTGCTCTTATTAGTTCCTAGGCGTAGATATCCTTTCTCAAAGGATTTGGAAGCTTCGAGGAACGCAGAGTTTTCGGGAAAAACGGTCGGTTGTCTTCAGTATTCGTCGGTTACTGGTAGTATTCGTACGTAACTCATACTCGGTCGACTCTTAGGCATCATCGGACGATGATAACCCACAGACAACTCGTTGTAACAGTCAACTCGGTACGTGTGTACTAGCAGAAAACTCTCTAGTGAACACCCAGAGAAGTCTCCAGAATATTCTTCAGAAATGGAATAACTCACCGGTTAGTCATCTACAGTGATGATTGTGAACTCACCAATCAGCCTGACTCTCATCCCACTCAGCACCGGGTTCTAAATGATATCTAAACGATATCGTTTTTCAGTCATCGAATAGATATCGTCTAAATGATATCTGAACGATATCATTGGAAAGATATTCTTTAGAGTTCCTCGGAATGATATCTGGAAGATATCTATTCGCAAAGGTAATTTTGCGCATGCGTAGAGTATTGCATATTCTAACCTAAAAAGTTATTGATAGAATTCTGTAAATCAATAAATTTATTTACTTTCTTTTTCATGAATTGAGTAATCAGCTTAACCAGTAAGAACTCAGAAATATAAGTTATCTATTAACAACATTTTTTAGGTAGATATATCTTTGCATATCTACATACTCTATAATAGTAAAGATATTCATTCATTCAAAATCATTCTGATTTAGTGCTTTCATCATCAATGATCACATATATATATATCTAATACTTCATTAATAAATAATTATTATATTTCAAATAGGAAAATTATCATATTGGAGCTATGAAAAAAGTCAGGCCGTTCTACACTTTATCCAAGTGCCAGAGAAATCGGCGTTTACGACGAGTCTGCAACAATGACTCAGCAGATTCATCTTCAACGAATTTTGAGATTGAGATGTCCAATTTTGAAATGTCTCACGAAGGAACATATCGTCTTCAAAGTGATATAGAAATACGTGAATTAAGTGACTATTGTGGAAGCGAGATTCTTATTAGTGTACCTGATACAGTGAATGTTCCTATTGGAAAGACAAGTAGTTGTGATAATTTTGGAGCTGATGAAAATAAACATTTCAGCAAAGGTACATTAAGTTTGAAAGATAGACTTGCTCATTGGGCGTGCAGTTGTAATATGACACATCAATCAACATCTTATTTATTAAAAATTCTTCGTACAGCTTCACCTGAAGAATTGTTAATATTACCATCAGATTCAAGACCTTTACTTCGATCTCCCAGAAAAACTTTAATTTGCAGTGTTCCACCTGGAGAATATTTTCATTATGGTTTGCAGACTGCTTTAGAAGATCAGCTAAATACTCTTCCTATCGATGATATATCAACAAATATAAGTATTAATGTCAACATCGATGGATTTCCAATTTCAAAAAGCTCAAAATGTCAACTCTATCCCATTCTAGGACAAATTGTACCGAATGTGATGGAACCATTTGTTATTGGTATTTACCACAGGCATAAAAAACCATTTTCTTGCAATTTATTCCTTCAACAGTTCATTGAAGAATATAATGATTTACATAAACACGGATTTATATACTCCGTATTTTCACAGTTACAATTAGAGCAGTGATTTGTGATGCTCCAGCGAGATCTTATGTTACATATACTAAGGGTCATGGTGGCTACTTTGGATGTGGAAAGTATAGAGAAGAAGGAGATTATGATAATCATCGAATGCTATTTTTAAATTTAGATGCAGAATTAAGGACTGATACAAATTTTCTTTTGCGTGTTGATGAAGAGCATCATTCTGGCATATTAATTTTTGAAGAAGCTGAATTAGGAATGGCCTCGCAATTCCCTCTTGACGATATGCACCTTGCTTGTCTAGGTGCGAGCGATGTTCAACAACTTGGACCTTTAGATTCATTTAGTGCTTTTCCCTTTAAAAATTGTTTATATACAATCAAAAATAGATTAAAAAAAGCTGACAAAGCTCATGAACAACTCCATCGGTGAATAGTCGAAAGAGCTACATGTCATATAAAAAATTCGTATAAATTTTCTGGAGAAATCAGACTGCATGGCACAAATAAATCTATGGAAGTAGAATCTGGTATAATTTCTTATTATACAATATATTACAAAACATTTAAACTATCATTGAGAGCTAAACAAGATCGATATTGTTATTCAGACGGTGGTACAGTTGTTTGCATTGATAATATATCTGTTGATGAAAGTGGACCTATAGTAATTGGTAAATCACTTATAAATCCACATGGATTCCGTCATTATCTTGTCGATTCGAAAAAGTTTAATATAGTCGTTGGAAATAAATGGTCTACAACATTAAATGTTGCTGCTAAAAACATAACTATGAAAGCTGTATGTATTCCCTTTCAAGAGTCTTTCTGTTTTCTACCTCTGCTCCATTCAACTCTTTTAGATACTTCGGAAGATAATGATAATTAGGTTTGTTTCCATACCACCTGTTTATATTTTTTTGTGTGGAAATATATACATATGTATCTAGAAGTACATAAACAATAACAAAATGTTCATTGTATAAATATTAATTATAGTGTTATACTTTTATACATATAGAACACACATCTATAAAATAAATATAAAAGATTCTTCCACAGATTTATGGCTTCAATTAATTCTATTGTCTCAAATAACTAAAGATTTATCGAAATTTCTAATATTTGTTTATCATCAAATTCTAATAATTTTATCATGCATAGTATAAAATTAGTTGAAAGTTTAAGTTTGTTAAATTCGCCGCGTCATAGTGTGTTGCAGTTTGATAGTGAAATCATACACAAAAGGTTTACTTACAATCGAAATTCAACAATTGAATATTTATGCATCATCGGCATCGAGATTATATTAAGTAAGGTGTTCAGGGCTTCAGGAGTTGGATTGATCGGTAGAATAGCTAGCTTGACGATTGGTCTGACCAACGTCGTTGTTGGTGTTTTCACCGTTGCTACTCGTGGCAGCCCGTCTTGCCCTGGGTGCAATTGTATGATCCTCACGAGTGGCCATTTCGTGGGGGGAAATCTTTCATCTGTTAGCAAGGCTAATGCACCAACTTGAATTGTTCTGTTCCTGAAAAACCACTTAGAAATAGCTTGTAATTTTTGTAAGTAAGATTGTGACCACCTGTACCAGAACTGCTGTGATTGTCGTTGAATCATCCGCCATCGATTTTGAATTGAATGTGCAGGTTCTGAGGTTGATGGTTCAGGAACAGTGTTGAGTTCTGACCCAATAAGAAAGTGTCCAGCAGTGAGTGCTTGAATGTCTTCTGGGTCGTCACTGATTGGCTCTAGAGGTCTTGAGTTGAGAATTTGTGTCAGTAGTGTGGTGATCTCTTCAAACGTGAAGATTGATTCTTTTACTGTTCTCGTCAAATGAAATTTAAGTGATTTCACTCCTGACTCCCACTTGCCACCCATGTGTGGTGCTGCAGGTGGGTTGAATGACCATTGAGTGCCGTTGGTGATGATGAATCTAGAGATGACCTCATGTTCTCTGGTGAATTGTGTAAATAATTTCTTGAGTTCTATATCAGCTCCAATGAAATTTCTGCTACAGTCAGAATAGATTGTCTGGCATAATCCTCGTCTAGAGGTGAATCTCCTGTAGGCAGCAATGAATGCTTCAGTTGAATAGTCACTAACTGCTTCCAAATGAACTGCAGAAGTTGCCATGCAGACAAATACACAAACCCAAGCTTTTCTAGTCTTGGCTCCTCTGCCTGATGATGTTTTGATTGTGAATGGCCCAGCATACTCTATACCAGTATTAGAGAATGGCCGTGAAGGAGTGATACGTGATTGTGGCAATTGGCCCATGAGTTGTTGTGCTCTTATGCCTCTTTGTCGAGCACATTTGATGCACCGAAGAATGAATGTTTTAACTGGAGCTCTTCCACCCATGATCCAGTAACGTTGTCTGATTGTTGTGAGTGTAAGTTGAGTGCCACCATGTAGTGTGGCTAAATGATAATGTCTAATAATAAGAGTGGTGAATGGTGAATGTCGAGGTAGAATTGATTGATGTTTTGAATCATGACTCAACTGAGCATGCTGAAGTCGTCCTCCTACTCGTAGAACTCCTTCTGAGTCAACTTATGCTGTGAGTCTGTTGAATGAATGGTTTGGTGGAAGATGTTGACTGTTGGATAAAGTCCTGATTTCTTGGTGAAAATGTGCTGCTTGAGTAGACTTTATCCAGAAGATTCTCGCCTTTTCGATGTCAGCTGTTGTGATTGATGCTAAAGGGCTGGTAACTGGTGAATGTCAAAGTCTTGAAGTGAATTTAATGATTAAGGCGGTGATTCTAAGTAACTTGTTGAGTGTAGAATATCTGTTAACCAAGTCCCAATGAATTATTGTATCTTGAATTGCTGCTATGAGTGATATTCCAGGACGAGCTTCTAAGTTACAAGCCTCGTCAGCTGGTGGTAAATTTACCGGCCAGTTTTCTTGATTTTCAGCTAACCAGGTGGGTCCCCTCCACCATAGCAAGTAATCTTTTAATTAATTGGCTGTGATGCCTCTTGAAGCACAGTCCGCTGGATTTTCCTTGCCAGAAATGTGGTGCCAGTGCGCGTCCGCAACTAGTTCTTGAATTTGCACTACTCTGTTCCTGACAAAGTCCTTCCAGCGTCCTGCATTTGAATTGATCCATGAATGAGTGATTGAAGAGGCCGTCCATAAGTGAATTGAATGTATGTTCACTCTGTGGAGTGTAGCTTGAACATACTTTGTGAGTTTTGCTAGAATTAACGCAGCAGTTAACTCTAGCCTGGGGATCGTGATTTGTTTGATTGGTGCTACTTTCATTTTCGCACAGATGAGTGTGATTTTGGGCCCTGTGGACGGTGAATTGATTTTTAGGTAGATTGCTGCAGCCATTGCAAGCTGTGAAGCATCAGAGAATCCATGAATTTCGACAGTTGAATGTCTGGTTGTGTGAATCCATCGGGGAAGTGAAATCTCATGAAGTTGAGTGAATTCTTCTCTGATGATCAGCCAGCGATTGATGATTGATTGTGGGACTGGTTCGTCCCAGCTGAAGTTATGTAACCAGAGTTCTTGAAGGAGCATCTTAGCTCTGATTGTGATTGGTGACACAAACCCCAAAGGATCATAAATTTGAGCTACTTCTGAAAGAATGAGGCGTTTTGAATATGTTGACTCATGAGTGACTGATTTTGATGTGAATGTGAATGTGTCTGAGCTTGGATTCCAGTGAAGTCCAAAATTTTTGTAGTGCAGTCTTCGAAGGTGATTTTTTGTTGATTGCCTGATGATTGTGACGTTTTTTGAAGAAGTGATTGACTGTTTGATTGCCATTTTGCAAGGGGAAAGCCGCCCGCCTTGCACAAGTTGATTAGTTCCTCAGCAACTTGAATTAATTCTTCTGGAGAATCTGCTCCTCCAAATATGTTGTCGACATATCTGCCTTTAATGATTTTCTGAGTTGCTTTTGGATATTTATGGCCTTCATCCTCTACTAATTGCAGTAACACACGAACTGCTAGATAAGGAGCTGATCTAGTGCCGTAGGTTACTGTTGTGAGTTGATATGGGATGATTTTGTTATGATTGTCTAGCCAAAAAATTTGTTGAAGCTTCCAATCTTCATGATGAACCATTATTTGACGATACATCTTTGTTATGTCAGTTGCGAATGTGAAATTGATGTTGACGAACCCAAAGAAGTACGTCAAAGATGTCTAATTGAATTTTAGCTCCAGTGTGAGTGATGTCATTCAATGAAACTCCAGTTGACATCGGGCTGGATCCATTGGAGATGACTCTAAGCTTGGTGGTTGTGCTATTTGGTCTTAGAACCCCATGATGAGGAAGAAAGTATGGATGAATGTCTTGAGATTCTTGATTGATTGTTGGAGCAGGTCTCATATGACCAAGTTCTTCGTATTCTTTCATGAATTGTCTGTAAAGATTGCGGTACTCAGACTCGTTGGTTAGTCTCCTCAATTGACGTTTCAAACATCGATACGCAGTTGTACAGGAGTCTCCAAGAGCTGCAGGTGAAGACATGAGTGGAATTCTGACAATGTATCGTCCTGATGAATGTCTAGAGTGAGTTGATTTAAAGAAATCTTCACATTGTTGGTCCAAGGATGATAATTGATGTTGATTTGACATGGGAACCTCTTCTTGGACCCAGAATTTTGTCAGCAACTCTTGAATGTCTTCATGGTTCGTGATTGTAGTAGCATGATGAATGTGAGAATGATTGACTGATAAATTTGGTGCTACTGGACCAAGAATTAGCCAACCAAAGATAGAAAGTTGAGCTATAGGAGCTGTTGGAGAGTGAAATATGATCTGTTGTTTAATGATTTGTCCATAAAAATCAGGTCCAAGTAGAATGTCTATTGATTGTGGAATGTTGAATGTTGGATCGGCTAGTGTTAATCCATTGAGATGAGGCCAGTGATTGTTGGGATAATTACATGGCACTTTTGGAATTAAAGCTGTCAACTGTTTCATTATGTGAGTTCGAATGTATACTGAATGATTGGATGATAATGATTGTAGCTCGCAGAATGTTACACCTTTTGTTTGAGTGAGCTTAGAGCTTCCCACTCCTCTTATGTTGATTGTCTGATGGTGTTTTCTCAGTTGCAGCAGACTGGCTAGATGAGAAGTGATTAGTGTTAGCTCTGATCCAGGATCTATGAGCACTCGTGCAATGTAACTCCCTGAATGTGAATTGGCTATGACTTTTGCTGTTGCTAACAGCGTTGAATGATCATCATGTAGATGACCTGGAATTGTTTGACTTGAGCAGATTGCTCTCGTCGATGATTGTCTGCTAGTTTGAATTGAATTAACGTCACTTGGTTGTTGATTTTGTGTGCTATTAGCACTACTAGTTGAATGTTGAGTGATTGTCTTGTGGTCATTCTGACCTTTTGATTGTCCTAGATGATTTTGCTGCTTCTGAACTTGTCCTTTGGACCATTCCAACTGAACCCTCAACCCTCCTGAGGCCAAAACCTCATGTGCTAAGGTCATCCAGTCAGTTTGACCCTCCAGAGCAAGTCCATCGGCGAGCTTGAATGTCTGTGTGAATGATGATTGATTTTCGAAGACTACTTCGCCTCCTCATTGCTGTGAAGTTGAAGGCTGAGTGTCTGATGGTCATTGTTGTGATGATTGTGTCCTGGAAGACGCTTGATTGTTGTTGCTTGATGATTGGCTAAATAGCAGTGAATGGAACATGGTGTGATGTTTGGAGTTGCACTCCTTGCATCTGTTCTTGTTGGTGCAAGCTGGTGTGTTATTTTATCCAAGACAGTTTCTGCACAGTTTTTTACTGTCTACAGTCCTCAATCGTTGTTCGAGAGGCAAAGCCCTGTATTCTGGGCAGACTACGATGAAATGACCACCATTGCAGCAGTCACAAATGAATCTACGCTCACTGGTAGTTGAATGCGATGAGCGTTGTTGATGGTCTGATTTGATTCGTGGCTCCAGTTTCTCCAACATACGAATTCGAGCCAATAGGAAGTCATGGAACTCTAAGTAAGTAGGCATCCGCTCAAGATCATTATCCTGAGTTTCCCAGAGCTCACGAGTATGTTGATCAAGGTGTTTGAGAATGTGAAATATGAGAATTGTATCCCAATTCTCAGTTGATTGTCCTAATAGCTTGAGTGAGTCCAATGAATTGTCTACGATTGTGAGTAAGGATGAGATCTTGGCTGAATGTAGTGGAGCTCTTTTTGACTCAGCAAACTGGCTGAAGAGTTTTTCCAGGTGAACATTGATGAGCCTCTTGCGATTCTCGTACCTGGACTTGAGTGTCGCCCATGCTCTTGTGAATGATTCCTTCGTGTGAGGAAGGTTTTCAACCAGAGAGAGAGCTGGACCTGAAAGAGCTGATTTGAGATAATTGAATTAGATGACCTCATCCAGACCAGGTTGATTGGCTATCATGGACTCGAATTGATCTCTGAATGACAACCAGGAGGCACTGGTTCCATGAAATTTGAGCACTGACAGCTTAGGAAGTCGGGCTAACGCTTGTGCGACGTCAGATGCACTACTGGTTGATGTTGATTGTACTTGAGGTTCCTTGGAAGCTACCTTAGCGGATATCATGAAGAAGTCTGAGACTGATTTGTTGAATGTCTCAAAGACATCATCCACAATGTACGGATGATGAAATTGAGATGGTGGCCAAACCTCCTCGAGCACTTGATGTTCTGAATTGAAAGACTCGTGCAACGCTGTGAGTTGTTTTTCCAGCGAGAGTCTTTTTTCTTTAGTGATTGTCTGTTGTTGGTCTTTGATTTGCTGAGTGAATGACTGGGCTTAGCGTAGCTGAGCCATTTGAGACTTAATCTTGAAGGTCAATTGAATCGGTAGACCAGGATTGAATGGTGTGATTATCTGTATTGTGCTTTCAGTTGTCGATCTCCGTTGTGGCTGGAGATCTGGTTCTTTTAATTGATCAGTTGGACTACCAAACTCCTCTACGCCATCGTCAGGAGTCACGCTGGTTGTTGGTTGAGGTTTTGAGGTCTTGGACTCTTGGTTCTCACACTTCTTTCGTTGGTCGGCCATTTTGTGCACTTGAACACTTGATTGTTTTGTCCCTTTCACTTGTGGCACCAAAATTTTAGTACTTTACAACCGAGAGCTCTAATCCGGCTTGAAGGACCAATGAAATGTTGAGAAAATCTCAACTTGTAAATTAACCTAACCGTTTAAGGATAGGGATGATTGTGCCGGAACAGAGCAAACGAAAGTCAGGTTGTATAAAAAATAAAGTATCTTTATTTTAAGCACTAACAGGTACACTAAGTATACTGACAAACTTGAGTTGTTAACTAGGGAGACTGAATGTCTATTTTTAATTCTTGAATCTGAATTGAATGTCCAAAAAACTATTCAACTTGGTGTGGTCGGTATTATTGACCTCCCACACGAGCTCAGCACGCTTCTTAAGTTGAGCAAGAATGTGATTGTGCACGTGGCGTTAGCCTATCAATGCAATGCGAATGAATCTTGATGAAATGTCTTGAATAACACTGAAAAATCTTGAAATATTTCTTGATTCTAGTTTTAGAATGAAGCTTGAATGGCTCTGATGATTTTCAATAGCACTAGTACTGATGATTAACTCAAACTTGTAAAATTTGTTAAGAATGAATAAGAATGGCGTGTACACGTGAACGAGAACAGTAGAAGAATGGCGACAGGAACTTCATTAGTCAACAGGGACACTGAAAATTAGTCAAATGATTGACTAAATGCAGAATTATTGATTGTTTAGTCGATTGGTTATCAACCCAGTCCCAAGATGGCCGCCGAAGTTCCTGTCAGCTGGCAAATTCAAACTGAGAATTAATTAATTCTCAACAGATTGAATAAAACTGAGTTACGTTCAAAAAAATGGAATTGACTTTTTACAGGTTCAAAGCATGAGTCAATTAATAATAATATATCAGAATCCAGCAGAGAAGCTTCCAAGAGTCCACCGCTAAATTATGGCACCTTTTTTCTCAGAATCCGTTTGAATCAAATGAATCTTTACAAAATCTTAGAAGTGATTGGAATGCTGAAAATTATGTTGCGAGAGATATAGAAGATGTGGATTTGGTAAATAAATCACAACAAATGCAAGATGAAAATACTCCAGATAATACCCAAGAAAGTTCATCATATAAAAGAAGTAACATCGTAAAGGATAACTTAATAAACAAACCCACCGTTATAATTGAAGTTCGAACTAGTAAGTTTGGATCGTCTATTCTATTGAAAATCAAATAATGCAAATTTCGTTACGTTTTTTCCTATTTTCAAAATTATTAATTTTTCCAATAGATATGTTACCATTACGCATTCATGTAAACAAAATAAATGAAAAATTGACTGCTTCAAGTGGCATCAGTAAAAGTCCATCGTTGAATGTAATGAGTGCACAAGCTGGAGAAGTCGAAAATGGTTCATTTAAAGGGAGTGAATCATGCTGTAGTATGTGAATATAATAATTGAATATTTAATTTTAAAACTTTTGATTATTTTAGGTCCCCAGAGTCGAATACGATCGTGTTTCAGTGGACGTCTGTGTGTGTATGTACGTATGTACGTATGTGCGTGTGTGCGTTCGGAATTATTTTTCGCCTCGATTATCTCGAGAACAAAAAATGATATCGGCGTGAAACCAACTGCATTTGACACGAAATTGCGCAACTTAGAACTGATCCGGTTTTCAACGAAATCGGTCCAGCTATTTTTTTTTGCAGAACCAAAAACAAAATTAGCAATGACAGAATTTCAAACTCGTGTCAGGATTGAGAAAACAGCATTAAAGACGCTATAATAGTCAATAATAATTGTCAATAATATGGAATTGTGTTCATAACAATTGAACATTGTTACTAACAAGTGATTATTGATCATAGTAATACTTAAATGATAAGTTTTAAATTGTTATAAACAATAAAAACAGGGACCTTTTCTATATATATGAGTACTTTTAACGCATAATTTTTGCCTTTACTAAAAAAATATTACCAACCGTATGACATAAATAAAAACATACTTTTTTCGTTTATAACAATGAAATTTGTTGTAAATAATGAAAAAAAGGATCTATGAGGTATATTCGAATTCTTCTAACGCACAA